AAGTCGTAAATCAAAAATTTTCAAAGTGTATCTAGAAGCTAATCGAAACCAAGTCTAAGTGATTGTGAAAAACAATTTAAATAGTCTAACTTGTTGACATTAAATGAAAAGCTAATATAAAATCGTGAGTCATAAAAACGTGGGTTTAGAAACTTCTAAAAAGGAAGCGCAACCATAAAATTGAAACTACGCGAGTCACCATACGTGGTCGCGTCCATTGTTGGGATATTGGCGACAGATTTATCGGGCCGCTGGTGTGAGCTGCCGCCATCTTGAAGTAGCTAAATCAGCACCCAAAGCTATCCATGTGCTGTTGATCGGACTGGGGCGATCCCCTGGGTTTATTCTTCGTCTCGTGGCTGCGTGCCGCTAAGAATAACCTCAGAGTGCGTGGTCATCGGAAAGGATAGTTCGACCTCGCGAGCACCACCCGTTACCACGTGGTTGCCACAATCCGCGAGTAGTCTGTCTGGGGAAAGTTAGCCACTGCCAGAGTGAATCGTCCAGACTCACGTCCCGGGTAAAACTCAAGAACCAGTCCTGATCAGATCCTAGCTCTCCCAGTGTACACCTCCGTCACCCTAAGGAAGCCGAGAGTCCCCTTTCGGGTGGTATAGAACGCTGTCTTGGCGCCAAGTCGCCCTTTCGCACTCACCGCCCGGTCATCGGAGTCGGTAATCCACCGGCTCGCATCGTCCGGACACACGTGGCGATAGTCGAGACACCCGTGATCGACGAGCGACGACGGCGTCCACCACCAACCCACTCCGTGGCTGGTGAAAGGTAATCCAACGATCGACGGACGCTGTAAGTACCTGAACCATTTCTTTAGTACCCACACGAACACATTCCACCTCCAGTAGGGAAGACAGTTTATAGTAGTAGGGGAAGAAAGGGGAGAGGGGATTTAATCCCAGGTTGACTCACGTTTAGGGACCAGATACATGGAATGACGTCACAGTTAGGAGAAGGTAGGGCGAGAGAAATGTTTAATAGTTACAATACAGATATCAAACTTAACAAATAGACATTGGAGATAAACATATTGCATGAATGGAAGTACAAAAAAAAACTTTTTATTGTTTTTGTCTCAATAAACACTATGCTTTTCGTTTCAAATTAGTGAATTAATTTGGGGAGAATTTATGGGAAAGGATATTGGGAAGTTGGTTGAAGGTTTAGCACATCCTTAGAGGTGGATTCTGCTGTAGGGTTGGACAAACAGCTAGCAGGGCAAACCGATCTGAGTTCTGACAGACGACTCTCGTCGTCTGGCGCATAAGTCAGAATTTTTGGAGGCCCTACCAGGATCCTCCTTAAAAATTTCATGGTGTTGGCTGACCGGAAAGTGACGGTACGCGAGCTAGCAGATACCGCACAGATTAGTACTGAGCGCACTTGCCATATTTTGGGCGAGATTCGGCATATGATAAAGTTATCCTGCCGCTGGGTGCCACGCAAGCTTACTCCGGACCAAAAACACGAACGCGAGATCACTTCGAAAGAGTATTTGGACTTGCTGATGTGGAATCGAGTGGACTTTTGACGTCGATTGGTAACTGTTGATGAAACCTGGATCCACTATTACACCCCATAGAATAGAATAAGTGCCCGGCAATGAAATGAAGCCGGCACGAGTGCACCGAAGCGGCCGAGGGAGGCTCGATGGGTCGGAAAGGTTATGGCGTCAGTTTTCTGGGATTGTCTTCGTGGACTACTTCGAAAATGGAAAAAAAAAACCATCAACAGCGAGTATCACTGTGCATTATTGGAGCGATTGAAGACCGAAATCGCTGCAAAACTGCCTAACATGAAGCGAAAAAAAAATTGTTTTTGTAAGACTTGCGGCTAAAATTGCTTCCGCATCCACCGTATTCACCCGATTTGGCTTCCTCAGACTATTATCTCTTCGCAAATCTCAAAAGATGGCTCATCAATAAAAAAAAATCAACTCACATGAGGAAATCATCGACGCCGGGAGGAGTATTTTGCAGACCTTCCGGAAAAATACTTTTCGGATGGGATCATGAAGTTGGAAAATCGCTGGAATTTCATTCCCAAGGAGGTTACTTTTCACTGGGGTAGTTTTGAATACTTTCTGATCAACATGCAGCCTTCAATGAATATACGAGAGACTTAATTTGTATTTTCTAACAGTTGGAGATCTTCAGAACTTGATCATTCAGAAGTCTTGAAAAATATCCAATGAACTAAAGTTCATATTAGTAAACTAATATCTTCGTCTATCTGAAGATCTTTTGAATATTACCTGCTGGTTAAGAAGGATGTCTGAAAGAATATGCTGTAAACTTTCAAGAAGTTCGTTAAGCTTTTTTGAAGTAAGATCTCTGACAAACTGTAACGAAATTCCCTGAACTGAAGCGAAGTTCCCTGTTGATCTATTTTTAGATCTTCTACAAAATTCCCTGCACTTATATGAAATGTTGTGCAGCTTCACAAAATGCTACAAAATTGCCAAAACTTCTACAAAGTTTGCTGCTCTTCCACGTTTCTCGATGATTTTGAACTTGTACGTAGTTCCCTGAACTATTCCAAGCTCATGAGGCTTCAAAAAAGTATACCGAAATTATCTGCAGATCCTCGAACAATAATGCGGTCACTTGAAATTAAATAATGTTTAATTTCTACGAAGATCCCAAAACATAAATAGAGTTCCCACTTCTACGCAGTTTTCTGAACGTTACCAAAGCTTTTCCAAAGTTCCCAGAATTTCTACTAAGTTTTGTTAATTTCTACGGTATTCTGTGATATTCTTAGAAGTCCTTAAAGTTTTACGAAGTTGCCTGAGGTAAAAGAAAAATCCTGAACTCTTGGTCAATTTGTTGAGCTTGAAGACGTATCGACGTATGCTATCGATTAAATGTCAATATAATATAAATTCTCCACATTGTTTCTTCTAGTTTAGAACATTAAGAAAAGAAGACTTTTATAAAAATCAATAAAAATTAGAACTACTCTCGAAACTGCTTGACAAAATACCGGTGTATAAAAAAAACATTCAATTTCTCGGCACGGGTTAGCTGCGCCAATCTAGCTAAGCAAAGCAACTTTCCTCCACCGTGAACGAAGAGATGAACCAGCCTCTGGCTGAAAGTCTCGCTAATAAAGATAACCTAACCTAACCTCCACCGTGAACATTTTCATCGAAAAGATTTTTCAGTTTATATTTTTAATGGATTGCTGAGATCATTTAATTAAAAAATAATAATCTACAATACTTGGTTCATGATCTATGGATTTCCAAAGTGTGTGAATTTCAAAAATATCAGAAATGTTTAACCAACATCTTTTTTTTTTATAAAACTCAAGACCGGTAATAGACACCACTCTGAAATTTTCGCTTATGATACGATGTATTGAAGCATGAAAAAAATCATTACAAAAATTTTCCATAAATTTAATGATTTGTTTTCTTGATTTTCCTTCACCGCGAAAATGTTTGTGGAAAATATATTTCAAATCATATTTTCCAAGGATTTCTGAGATAATTTCCTTATCATTTTATTGCACAAAATTATTTCTACAATGCTTGTTTCATGAGTTATACATTTTCAAAGTACGTGATGTTCGGGAAAATCCAAAAACTTCATCTAATAATTTCTGGAAAAATTAGCCACCCAGATTTTTTTTTAAATGTTCTACCTTTGAGAAAAGTTTATCGTTTTATCGTATATTTTTTAATGAATTTTTCGGGTTGAAAAATTTCTCGACTTCTCTATGGGAATAGAGAATAATTGTACTTTCCACACAATTATACTAATGCAAAAATGGTACAGGCATCGAAAGCTTTCAATTAACAACTGTGGAAGGGCATCTAAGTAGAACAGCAAGTTTAGAGCACGCAATAAGCTAATATGCGATAAGCAATAAGTTCGAAATGCGAAGAAGAAGAAGAAAAAGAAGAAACAAATACAGGATTTTAGTTGTAACATCAATAAGTACGTTCATCAAATACTTAAATAAATGTCAATTAATAAAGAATTTATTTAAAAAAAATATAATAGAAACGATTTTTAAAAATCATTGTTTTTCAGGAGAAACGAGCAGGTGCAAGGGGTAAGCCGAACTGTCCTGAAAATGCTTTGATTCTGCGGCAGGTTTGATTCTCGGTATGGACAAGAAATTAATCCAGGCTACAGGCCTGTGCAAAATTCCTGTTGGGATATAATAGTCTTGAAGAAGACGGAGAAATAGCATCAAACAAGATTGAGCATTTATTATAAACATAACCACCCTAGCAACATTTCCATACTCACACAATGGCGACAATCATACAGTTGGAGAATCCTCTTCAGATCGCAATTGCATCACTCGTCTCGCGCTCCACTCGAGATGATCTAGTCACTTGAGAGGGCATTAGAGAAGCCACAAATTGATTCTTTCTCGAAGTTGACGAAGCTGACACTGACGACATGATGATGATGATGATGTTCCAGGAGTTGTAACTCTTGTTCTCACCGCTCTGCAGATGATGATCAAAGCGTATTGTTTGCTTTTTATCATTTTCTTCTTCGGGGGCTCTTATGGCTATCTTCGGACGGCTCGTGGCTGATGATATTTACCTGTCGCGACCGAATTGTTTAGGTCCCTTCCGGTGTTAACAACAGTGTAGATACAGCATCCTCAGCTTGTGGCTCGACCAACTTTGATGGGCTTGTATAATGTTGCAGATCGTCTGCTGACAGCAGTTTATACATAACTTGTTACGATGGTGGTGAGCGAAAGAAAGTGTTGAGGTCGGGCGCGTTGTGTTTTTTGGGGGTCTCGGCGATGCGTGCCCAGTCAGCGGTTCTTTGCATAAATACCACTAGGATGGGGTGGCTTTCGGTCAGTCTGTGGTCAAGTTCGGTTGCGTTCGCGTTACAAGCATACGATTCAGGATGGTCATTTTGGTGGTATGGTGATTGAGCAATAATAAGGATATTTAGTGATAGGTTAAAAGTGCTGTTGGAATCATTGGACTGTTGGATACAAGCTGTTTGGATACATTTTAATCGTAAAGTGTTCAGATTAGTAAGAAGAAACGATGGCTAATATGGACATTAATGAGTTTCGGGAGTTCGGAAAAGCAGCGATCGACTTTGTAGCCGATTATTTGGTGAACATCAGAGAAAGGTATGCGGATTGAAATCTCTGGACAGTGTGGCATTGGAGTGAAATCAACCCTGTTTAGAATGCAATATGAATGCTGTTAATTGAAATAAAGACTGGTGTGGTAATGACTAGGCTAACTTGTTTTTTGTATACGTTGCAAACAAATAACAAGAGCAGTGTGTTGACTGTCGCTTATGATTTAATGTTGGTGCAATTTTCGGTTAGGATGTCAAGAAAAGAAGCGACAGCAATTTTTTAATGTGAATATAGACAATACAAAACGAGACTAAATCTGAAACATCAGGCAATGTTCATAAAATGTATAATGTCATACTTTTTTATTTTCAGGATTTGAATAATGTTGGCATTGACTTTTTTTTTCACCCAGTATATTTTATGTTGTTTTGAGATACAATAATACGTTTTCGAAAAAAAAGTGCTGAATCAACAGATATCCTATGCACCTTTAATTTAAAGAATTTATTAAATAAAAGTTTTGTTTAAAATCAATACTATTTTCAATAGTTGCACAGCTGAATTATCACGACCTCTCTTAGCTGAGTTGGTTAAGGCGTAGCTATAAAGCAAGACCATGCTGAAGACGGCTGCGTTCGGTTCCCGGTCTGGTCAAGTAATTTTTCGGATTTAAAAACTCCTTGACTTCATTGGGCATTGTACTTGCTACACAATTATGCTAATGAAAAAAAATGGTACAGGATAAGAAAGCCCTCCAACAAAATGACAAAATGTTTCCTCTTCAAAATTGCTTGAACATACCTCAGCTACAACTTTGCTGAACAAGATGTCTGGAATATCAAAAGTAAAAAAAAATTAGTTTTTGAATATAAATTATTTGAGGGCTATCCTAATGTTGACAACCACCAATAGAAGGGTCATTTCAAGCACAGAAACTTCACCTAAGACTACTGATCCTGCTAAACTTTCATTCTGGATTACTGTGCAATGGTCTTAAAGCCGTATTTAGGAAGACAACAATGTTTGCGTCTTATCTTTTAGTTTTAGGCAATGGTTTGTTAGAAAAAGTTTTTACATTTGTTTAGCCAATCTTTTAATGTGAGTGAAACTAGAGTTGTATCTATGATTAGTGAGTTCTAAATATCAACTTTATTTTTTTAGATAGATCGGCGTATTGATCGTTGATAAACAATTAATTTGAAGCAACCATGCTGAAGAAAACAATTTTATGTTTTTAATGATTTACGTGTTATACGTGTGTTTATTTTGTACAAATTAGTTAGGGTGACCCCCGATGAGGATTCATTTTACCAAATAAAACTTGTGTATGTGGTAGGATAGACATATGGATGAGCGTTTATAATTCCATAAACTCATTAAAAAGTAACATATTGTCAGAAGTGATGCTTTAGGATTAACCATTAAATGTAGTAAAACGCCTGAATGTATACTATCTCTTACTTTTGTATAGAAATGATTCTGTGCATTCTCTTTAAACATTTATTTTTTATTTTTTTTATTTTGTCAGCAAAAACGTAAGAACGTAAAATTATATTTACTGGGATGTAATGTGATTTTTACAGATACCTTATATGTCTTATCGTTGTGGAAATTTAATGCAGGAATACAGTGGTTTTGTCCTGATAGGTGGATTAGTTTTCATCTCCTGTGATTCAAAAAGGGTTTGTCCACCATATTTAATGTGTTACACAATTTCGATACTATAATATTGTTAATCCAGCTAATCCAGTAAGTTGAAAAGTCGTCTAGTTCATAAGTTCATGTCTAATATTCCAACAGTTTTTATATTGCACCTGGAGATCCCACATTGAGTATCTGAGACGAAAATGCCAACAAAGGATCAATTTTCTCCGAACAATTACCGGAACGTGGTGGGGAGCCCATCCGCAAGATCTTCTAACGTTGTACCGGACAACGATTTTATCGGTTTTAGAATACGGTAGTTTTTGTTTCCAGTCGGCGGCTAAAACTCACATCATCAAACTGGAACGTATCCAGTATCGTTGTCTTCGTATCGCGTTAGGATGCATGCACTCGACTCATACGATGAGTCTAGAAGTGTTGGCGGGCATGTTGCCACTATCGGATCGGTTCTCGGAATTGTCCCTCAGGCTCCTCACCCGTTGCGAAGTTATGAACCCACTGGTAATCGAAAACTTTGAAAAGCTTCTTGAGCTGAACCCTCAAACTCGTTTTATGTCATTGTACTACGTGTACATAACACAGGATGTCAGCCCTTCACAGCATAATCCTCATCGTGTATGCTTCTCCGACTTCGGCAATTCAGTTAGTTTTGATTTATCAATGACGCAAGAGATTCGCGGAATCCCAGAGCATCATCGTTCCATGATTGCTCCGTCAATTTTCGCTGCAAAGTTTGGCCAAGTTGATTCCGCAAGATCGTTCTTCACAGATGGATCACTAATAGAGTCGTCCGCTGGTTTTGGTATTTTTAACGAATTTCATAGCGCCTCTCGAATGCTTCAAGCTCCTTGTTCCGTATATGTTGCTGAGCTGGCGGCAATACATTATACGCTAGAAACGATCGCCTCACTTGCACCAGATCATTATTTTATTTTTACGGATAGTCTCAGTTCTGTCGAGGCTATTCGCTCTATGAGGCCGGTAAAGCACTCCTCGTATTTTCTCATGAAAATACGAGAGCTTTTAAGTGCTTTATCTTTAAGATCTTTTGTCATCACCTTTGCATGGGTCCCATCTCATTGCTCGATTCCGGGCAATGAGATGGCTGACTCACTTGCTAAGGTGGGCGCTATGGAAGGCGATATTTACGATCGACAAATCGCCTACGATGAATTTTTCTTCATTTATCGTCAACAGTCACTCGTCAGCTGGCAGAATAAGTGGAGTGAAGGGAGTTTGGGACGATGGCTATATTCGATCATCCCTAAGGTGTCGAAGAGTTCTTGGTTCAAGGGGTTGGATGTGGGTCGAGACTTCATTCGTATGATGTCTCGCCTCATGTCCAATCACTATTCGTTAAACGCTCACTTGTTCCGTGTTGGGCTGAGGGACAGCAATCTCTGTGAATGTGGACAAGGTTACCAGGACGCAGATCACATTATTTGGTCATGTGCTGAGCACCGCGGAGTCAGATCCGAGTTGTACGATTCCCTTCGGGCTCGAGGTAGACAACCTAATGTTCCAGTTCGGGATATTTTGGCTAGACGCGATCTGGAGTTTATGAAACTCATATATGTTTACTTTAAGAATATTAACATTAGATTGTAAGTTTTATTAACCTTGTGTTCGGTTTGTATTTTGTATGTGTGTGTGTATTTTTTTTGTAGATTTGTTTCTGTAATAATTGTATAATTACAGAGTTGATATAACGTCGATAGGATTAAGTATTTGTTTTAGAAATAGTGAAATTTTTGAATCATAAATCATATTCCAAATCTCCTTTTCCCTCTCCCGATCCAAACAATTGTCATCCACTAACCTCGAGAAGACCGCGAGTAATCGGTTCCAATCCTTTAATTTTAGATTTAAGACATTTATAATGTGTAAAGAAAATGATAACTTGGCTCTGTAAAGTTTATTCGAATGAGCCTGTACAAATAAAGTAATTAACAAAAAAAAAAAAAAAAACAGTTTTTATGAGCCGCTATTATTTATGGGACTGAGTTTAATCGTACCATAAGCTTTAAATTAGATGTACACAGTATTGGCCTAGTAAGATTTGAATGTAACTGTTGTAACTGTTTTCCTGCACTCACTGCACCCAGTGTACCTTTTATATTTTTCAAATGAACTATATACTCTATGGCTCTCACAAATTTTTGACAAGAAAATGCAACTGCAGTATAGACCCACTTTTTCAGTGGACTTATTGCACCAAAGTATATCTTAATCTTAATTCTTAAACATCAATCTTGAAGATCAGTGAGGACGATTTGGATATTCGTTTATGCCAAATTATTGAAAGATTAAAATCTGATGCGTGGAGGGGCTGAAAAAACCGGGTCATTACAGTAATAAAATAAACAAAATAGGGGAATTTACGTATTCTCTGCAACCTAAGCAGCGATCATCTTTCTGTAGTCTTTTTCTCTAAGGAACGCACACATATGCATTATTGGTTTGTTTACAATCTTTTGCTGCCAGCTGCTCTAACAATTTCATTCGAAAGAATTGCCAAAAACTGTTTTGAAACGCTTTTACAAAGCTCCAATCTTCTCTAGTGAGAGCGACTATTGTGGGCAACATCTTTTTATTCGGCAACCTTTCTATTTGAGCTGCGTGTTAAACGGCTGTGCTTTCATCGGCAGCTCGAAATCAGCAGCATTTTGTAGTGCGTGTGTTTCATTTCAAGAAAACCCTGCTAGATTACTTTTTCTCAGTGGGAAAAATGTAATCAAATTGAAGCTGAAAGCCTAAAAAATCGTTTGAATGAATTCAGCGAAGTGTTTTCGTGAGAAAATCCAGCGAAATTAGCGTTTTAATTTGGGTTGCCGAAAATAGTACGTCATGCCGAAGCCGTCATTTCCCTACTTGTTTATTTTTTAGATATGATCATATAAAGCGAACGTGTTTTTTTTTTAAACTAAAATCGTTTCTTTCTTTCCAACCAAAAAGAGTTACCAACTTTGTTGCTTGAGAAAAAATTGCCCCATCAATGTTATAGATGTGCCTAGAATTATTTGCCCTATTGATTGTTTAGGGGCCACCCTAACTAATTCGCTGAAATCCAGTATAACTAGAACTATGCCAATAAGAAATAGAAAAAGGGTCTGTCCAAAAATGTTGCTAAATAAATTATTTTATTTCTAACGTACGCCGGCCTATCTCAAATGATTTTTATCATCCACTAACCATAGGAAGCACTCTAATTTGCTTCGCATGATAAAAATGAAAAAAACTTTCTCGAAGACACCTTTAACATAAAATTAATGGTTGAGGCTCGAATAGGGTATGGCACTACTTCACCATACTTCACTTCGCTTCGGCACACAAATCGGTAATTATACATCCACGTAAATGATGGTTGTAGCCGATTTTCTTAATTGTTTTTGATAATTGTATGACGATGTAGAGATTCACTCTATTAGGAGAGCGATAGAACCAGATACATGTTATGGACGTAATTTTGCCTATGTACCATATATTCAACATGGCGTTCAATGTTTTTGTTTTGATTTTTTTTGATCATCGTAAAACAGCAGAATTTACTAGGCTTCCAATTATCAGATTATTGTTGCTCAGTACTCATTGCCTTGAAAAAAATATTGAAAATAGATCGTAACTATGATTTTTATATCGAAATTTCAAAACTAGTCCAATGAACTCAATGAGCCCTTTGCCCCGTTGCACCAGATTTCTGGTAAACCAACCAGAAAGCGAGGTAGATGGGTTATATATTAGATTTGACAGGCCCTGAACAAAACCGTCAATTCACGCCACAATATTCAGTCAATGTTTCATACTACTAATGCTCTTCTTACGTTATTTATTTGTAGAGATGTTCTGCCATCCGTGGAACCGGGCTACCTGCACGATTTGCTTCCGAACGCAATCCCTGAGAAAGGTGACGATTGGAAATCAATCATGGAGGAATTCAAACGATTCATTGTACCGGGTCTCACGCACTGGCAGTCGCCACACTTCCACGCATTCTATCCATCACAGACATCCTACTCGTCGATTGTGGGCGAAACACTTGCCGCCGGTTTGGGAGTCGTTGGTTTCAGTTGGGTAAGTTGCTCAAAGGATTTTTAACAAGATTTGGCTTATTAGTTTCGATTATTTATTTTTTTTAGATCTGCAGCCCCGCGTGCACCGAGCTGGAAGTCATTATGATGAACTGGTTGGGTCAGTTGTTAAATCTACCGAAGTGCTTCTTGAATTGTGACGAAGGCAATGGTGGGGGAATCATTCAGGGATCGGCAAGTGAATCGATCTTCATTGCGGTGCTGGTGGCCCGAGAGCAAGCCGTGCGTAGATTGAAGAAAGAACATCCTGAGCTGACCGAAGCCGATATTCGAGGACGATTGGTTGCCTACACTAGTGACCAGAGCAACAGTGCTGTGGAGAAGTCAGGAATACTGGGAGCCATCAAAATGCGGCTACTGCCAGCCGACGAAGATTGTGTGTTGAGAGGAACGACGCTGATAAATGCCGTTGAAGAAGACAAATCTAATGGTCTGTTTCCGGTGGTAATGGTCGCTACGCTGGGAACTACTGGAACATGCGCTTATGACAATCTGGAAGAAATCGGACCTTATTGTAACGAAAACAAAATTTGGCTTCACATAGACGCGGCCTATGCTGGCGCATCATTTTGTCTGTCGGAGTACGCTTGGATCAAAAAAGGACTCGAAATGGCTGATTCATTGAACTTCAATCTACACAAGTGGATGTTCGTGAACTTCGATTGCTGTGCCATGTGGTTCAAGGATGCCTCAAAGATCACGGAAGCTTTTAGTGTAGATCGCATATATCTACAGCATCAGTATCAGGGCATGAGTAAGGCACCTGACTACCGCCACTGGCAAATTCAACTCGGTAGACGCTTCCGCTCATTGAAGGTATGGATCACATTGAAAACTATGGGGGCCGAGAAGATCCGGGAATTGATTCGGTTCCACATAAGTCTTGCCCAGAAATTTGAAGCTTACGTACAAGCGGATCCACGATTCGAAGTCACGTCATCCACATTGGCACTGGTATGCTTCCGTCTGAAGGGAGAGGACAGCATTTCGAAACAGTTACTTGAGAATATCACCCAGCGTAAGAAGATATATATGATCCCTGCAACGTATCGGGGCAAATTTATTCTGCGTTTCATGATCGCTGGAATTGATCCACAAGTTGAGGATATAGATTACGCGTGGAAAGAAGTCAAAACTCAGACCGATTTACTATTGGGTGTCGATGATAATGGAAATAACGTTTCGATAAAGGATCTGATTCAACAGGAACTGTTTGAAAAAGAAAAACCCATTGAAAAGATTACTGAAAGTTTGAACGGACTTGTTTTGCCTAATGAAAAGGTTCAGTGAATGGCGTTGATTGAATAATTAGCAATGAAGTACTTATGTATAACTTAAGTATCGAATAGTTTAAGTCTCAACCTTTGCGAACGTGTTTTCTTATGTTATTCAACCCTTTTTAATAGTTGTTAAGTGTCAAGAAACAGTGAATGGATATTGTTTTCATGAATCTAGCTGCTTAACTCGAGCAACACGGTGAATAGAATAGAAGATATATCTAAATAAACCCAAGATTATAAGTTACATATTATTCAACGAATAAAAATTTAAATCATTGAAAACATTTTGAACATTATCCAATTTTCTTCAACCACGAAACCCATCTTCAAAATGAAAGTTCTAACAAGCATAAATAAAACATCCTTCGCAATCCATGTGGAATTGCTATAGCTCCAGCAGAGTCAGAAGCCCTTTCTTTGCTTATCATTAAAACCCTTCACCGCAATCAACTTTTTCAGGGCACGAACGAGAATTCTTCGGATTCAGATTAAACATCCACTCTTACGACGACGAGTGAGCAAATGAGCTTTCAATCAACATCAGTTCCAATTCCATCGGTAAGCAACCGGAATCAGAAATCCGTTAATACCATTTCTTTGCAAATATTCAGCTACAAAATAGACGCCGACTGGTCGACATCATCATCATTGGCAGTCACCTTTCTGCTCTGACAGCTATGTTCAGTTTTTGCCGGAATGCTTTAGCTCTACAGCTCAGTAGTGACAAACGCTTATTGCGCTTTTCCAAGTTTCCATTCTTCTACACGCTGATACAGCAGTTGATGGTGTTGATGATGGTGAAACAACAGAGACTTGACACATTGCTGGTGAGACATGGAGCAGATAGGCGAAAAGAGTGAATGATCCTTGCTAATGGCGTAGCGAGGGTCATTTTAAGATATCAGTGCTACACGCAAAACAAATATCTCTTACATCCAATGTAAGGTTGGATTTATTTCAGCCTCTGCATATGTTTCATACAAAAAATATAATGGACTACAGCATACAAGCCAGTATGTTTTAGATTGTATGTTTTCGTTCAAACCTTAACGAAAAATAATCTATCATAAAAATATTACAATTATTTTAAAAACCATCCTGAAATCACATTACAGAATCAGTTTATGTCACGAAACATTGCAAATTCTGCATTATTTTTATGTAAATCTGATAGATTCCATATACCTACATCTCTTTAATGAGATATGTAGAGTTTGGAAAAATAGTAATTATAATTTTTAAATTTGAAATAATGATCCATTTTATTTTAATTATTGTTAGCATAATTTAAAATGAATTATTTGATAAAGCACCGAGATTCGAGTCTGACTGTTTATATGTTATTGAATAATTTTGATAAATTTTAAAGAGCACGTGTGAAATTAGCAAACTTTAGGGATTGGGAATGTAAGTGTACATCCAATAAATGCAAATTAAGTCCCCAAAGTAAAATAATGAATAAAGAGGAAATGTTTCTAGTACGCTATGACGAAAAATGGCAGTAGAGTAGACCGTGGAAAAACTAAATGTTGACTAATAAACCCTAGTAGGCTAGTAGTACTCTTGTCACAAATCGGTTGTAGGAATTTTTCTCCGACTTATTTCAGTCATGAACAACTTTCTACAACTTTTCGTGACGGGGGTGTGTTACATGCGAACTGCTCCGAAGGAAGGGCGAAAGAGGAAGAAATATCCCCGGTAGACTTCCTGACAGAAAAAGGCAGTGGAGTGGCCGGGAGCGATAAATAAATAAATATCGAATAGAAATAATAATCTTCCGGCAAATGGCCGGAAGACTGGCAAAAATCATGTTTTTTTACAAATAGAGGAAACTTAATATTGATGAAAATGATGGTACAGTAAGGGCCTGATTGAGACAACACACAATTTTGAACTTTTTTGCATTCCACAACTTCACATTTGTCCATAAAGGTTATGAAAAATCTTAAATGTATGTTCCTAAGTGCAGAGCAAAAGCAAATTGAAGACATGGGAGACGTGTTGCCAAATCCAGACCCATACTGTATTATTGAAGCTTGACAGTGATGAACGAGTAGGCGAATTTAAATTTGAAGGTTGGATATGATCAATATGATGTTTTTTAATGACAAAGTTGAGGAAGTTATCCCCAATGTTGAATTGATAACATTATTGAAGTCAATTGTAATGTTGAAATAGATGGTATTATCGATGGTGATGGTGATTAATATAGAAGGTCTAGTATAAAACAAGAGCGGATTCAAACAAACTGCCTTGCCAAACTATGCCTAGGTAGTTTATAGCAACACTGCCAATGCAATCAAGATAGGTTCTGCTCGATTGGCTCTGTCTGACAGTTAGTTTGGCTCAGAACCAACCAGTTCACTCCTCTCTTATGCACAACCCTCTCAAGTGCTCAAGAAGGCGACTGCAATGTTAAAACTGATAGAAATGTTGAAGTTGAACTCTACATGATATTTTTTAAAGTTTGTACATAACAGTTCTAAAGAAAAAATGTTCGAATGTTCATTACATGTAAATTTATTTGAACCGCAGACACTCGTCTTCACCTCTACCCCAAAATATCTCCGTGTTTTACCGTTAGCAAACTCACAATTTTAGGATTAATTTCATGTACCCAAAACTGGGCAACTGGTGCATAAAACCAACGTGAAAAATTTCCATTCTGCGCAGTTGCTTCCATCCGAGGTCAAATTTCTGCTGACTTGCTTGATTTATTTGTTGAGGCTTCACTGCTGGAGATAGACACTTATATGTATGCAAGTTACCATTTCTGATTTTTTACCAATTTAAGACCCCCTCTCATCCATTTGGCGTATTTGGTTATACCTACACACTTAGAAATTACTATTTTTACACGTGACGTAATTAATCTTTGACGTAAATCATGTAATGTAAAATTATGTGTCCTAAAACTGAACCATAAGCAACTCGACGAAAAATGTGTTTGATTGAATTGATTTTCTCGTCTTTTTCAACTGATTCGTCGCTTACATGTGTCGGTCTCAGGGCACCGAAATTTACATGACTTTTTCGTAGTGTGTAAAACATTAATCACAACATCTGAACCACCCCCACCCCTACACCTAAAATGCAACGTCATTTATGCATGTTCTCTAGCTGAGTAGAAGGTCTTGTTTTCAATTCCCGGCTCATTCCTTGCTCAGATTTGTCCCTACGTCTCCTATTTAATTCTGGCCCATTAGATTTAGGAAGACGCCCATCTATAGATTATAATAAGAATCAATAATCTACTTTATCGACAGATTTTTTTTCGCAGTTAATCCAAATTTCAAAATAACCTGACCCACGTACACAACCCATAGCAATTGTGGAGATGCACACCTAAATTCGGTCTCTAATATCAACCACAGACCACTTCAGTCCTACAGAAGTTTCTGCACTTTCCCAGCACAAAATGTGTTTGTACTTTAGTTTTAAATTTACAATACTTTGTGTAGATTCAAGAAGGTTTTCACTGGAAAATTCTCCAACCTCGTACCGATGCCAGACCTTCACAACTATTTCCCATGATCAACCCTTCACTACGCACGAAGCTGAATCCAACCGACCAAACGAAAGGTTGCTCCCCGGAGGTGGGTGGTGTCGGACCTGCTAAAGCTGTCGGTATTTTGCCTCGAGTCGAGAATTATGGGGGATGGGTGGCAAAAGCGTGTTAACGCATCTGGATCTCTCTCTCTATCTCTCTCTCTTTACACGTTGGCAGCTTGTACGAACCAGAAAAGAGATATACTGTGGGACATCACCTATATGGACTCAACGCGCAGACGATTTGTTAAAGAGGGATACCGATAGCAACAGCAGCAGCAGCAGCAGCAGCAGCAGCAGCAGTAGCATCAGATTAGCATACATTACGTGAGGAAAGCAACATTAGATTCTCCAGTGGGATGGTGAATATGAGTGCTGTGGGTGGAAGCGGGTTTTACCGTTTTTCGCTCCGCCAACTGGTCCCAAGGGGACGGAAGAAAATGCGTGCAAGGGATGTACAAATCTCTACTAGCCGTACGGCTTGCACTTGTATTAGTGTCATTCTATTTTCCTTCCGATTGTACATGTAGCAGGAAAATATCACCCTTAGCAACGGGGTGGGTGGAGCCTAGTACGAATTTTCCACCACACTGAATCGTTTTTAGTACAACCTCACACAGACGGCGTTTTCCTTCCTTCATTTTGTGCGAAAACATCCGAAACCGTTGCAAGTGTTTTCTATTACTTCTTTTTGTGTGGGACTAACAACAGGCTTCGAACAGAAACGGGAAAGAACTCGTTTTCTTGTTGGCGTTTAAAGTGTCCTTTTTTCCCGCGATGTAGAACAGCAGTTCGAGAAATGTTGAAGTTGGATTGCGCAGGTTCGTGAAAAAATCTGGCCGTCAGTTCCTCGATTTGAAAGCTTCTAAGATGAACCCATGCGAAGTTCCGTCGTCATCCTTATTTCTCGGTAAAGAGGGTGGAAAACAAGCTCCTGCGAGTGCGACGGACCTACTTTGAATTTCGGTGCTAATGGAATGAAGGTTATAATTAAAAGAATGTTTGTTTTTAAATTGGAGATGGTGATATTTGCCAGCGGTGGGGTAGAGCCACGATGTTCTGGTGCAAGCAAAAAGGTCAATTGAGACAGTGATGGTTAACGTGTCAGAATAAGGACGCTCAAAATGGATCTCATTAGCATAATTAGTGGACAAGAGATGACTACCGTCGGAATAGCGTCCCCCAGTGAGCCATTTCGTGGATTGGCCGGAGGAATAATGTGGTTACAATTTGGCAGCTTAAGTGTTGTAAAATGTTACTGGTGAGTGGATAAGCAGAGGTAGAGATTGGTTTGTTTATGAGACTTGCTCTTGATTTTGGTATAAAATGTGAGTTTAGCGTACATAGCTGCAAGAAGCTTTTCCAATACTGGATTTTTTTTATATATGAACATGTTCACTGTAAGAATAAAGGCTTCGCCGAATACATTTTAAACCATGTTCAAAACATTCTTAGATGCCCAAAAAACTTAGAATGTGTCATGACAAACAATTTGAAGAGAAAGTAGTTGAATGTTTATTACTTACCCCATGAGACTGATAATATTATATTTTAAATTGAAGTCTTACAATTAGCTTAGAAAGGCAACGGATTCGATTTCCGGTTCGATCAAGCTGTTTTTTTAATTGGAATTACCCATATTTCCTAGACATGTAGAAGCATTGTGTTTGTCACACAATATACGAATGCTCAATGAGGTAAGTTTGTCAGTTTTGGCATTAGTGCTGCCGTTTTTTTTTTTCAATAGGGCCTAAATCTAATTTGAAATATGTTTTCTTGATTTTATTTACGTAAAGAAATAAATTTTGCAAATGATAAAAAATTTAATGTGAAATTTAAGATAAGGCTTATTATAGGACACTAGCACCAAAACACATCTGGCACACTTGGTACCCTGGTCTAGAACCGAAAAAATCATGATCGTTTTTTGAATTAAAAAACTTGATTTTAAGTTTTAATTTAAATGTTTCAATCCAATTTTCTTTATTTCCAAACGACAATATGGGGTCAACACTGGAAAAGTTCGCGATATTTCACGAAGTTCATCAAGGGAAAAGTTCGCGAGTCATAGTGAGTTTTAACGAACTTTTCCATCACTGGTCAACAGAATCAGTATTTTCTATAACATATTATTACTTGGAAATGTGTGTTTACTCATACCTGCTATTTGTGGTTCTCTAACGAAAGTTCTATAGGATTATCAATATTTGCAAAGTCCTGCTTGCTTTTAGAAAGGTCCCGCTTCATCAAATTTGTTTCAATCCAACGCAACGCAGAACCATTTGGAGTATTTAAATCTATCGATACTATTTATAATAACACCATGAAATTGAATTACGGTTTCCTCGCTCGTGCTAATTCTGAAGTATTCAGATTGACGCATCGATCTAAAACAATAAAACGGTTTTTGGGCAGGTCCCCTACAGTTTTGTACTAATGCTTTATGAATGATTTTCAATACATTAACAGTGATCTTTGGTCCCTAAAGAACGTTCTGATAAAGTCAAAATTTGAATGGAATTTATAGTACGCAGAGAAATAAAAAATCAAGTGTTGCCCAAAATGAGGAGGCACTGTATTGCGAAACAAAGTAACTTAACTTAGAAACCTACTGGTTAGTGTTGTGTATAAAATTGACCAATTTTTTTTTCTACAATTCATGCAGAATACTTACGTCAGCGTTTCTTAATCTATGGGTCGCAACCAACCGGTGTGTTGAAGATTGTCCTTATGTTTAGGAATACAGATATCATAGCATAGCATAGCATATGCGATTTAACGAATCGTGGGTGGCTATAAAATGGATAACCAATACATTTTGCAGAAAATATCGCGTGTCACCACGAAAAAGCACTCTAAATTAGTGGTTTCCCCCACAAATACACAAACAAATTTGCAAAACAAACATTGCATTATACACCTGTCCACGTCCTTACAATTGCAGGAGATATGAGAAAAATTAGTCATTTACTGAAGAAGAAGCAGGGAACACAAATGATACTATCTTCATAAATGTCACGGGAGGACGACATGTTTGATAATAGGAAATAGAGAATTATTAAGAAACTTTATTCGACAATATAGAGTGTAGATATGATTAAGCTTAAGTCGAACAATAATTGAATAAATAAAAAAGGAAAGTACTAACCAGATTGCTTATTCAACCTCTCCATTGCGGAGAGGGATCGTCAGCTTCAACATTGGTACAATAAAATCCAATTAGCCAATCCTTCGTGTTTGATCGTGATTATGGCATCTTTTTCAAAACGCACCACACTCGTTTTTTTTTTCTTTATCACCGTGATTTTTAGCCGTAGGCTAGTTCATCACGTATCACCACCACCACAAACGTGTGAACACTCGTGTGAACAAAAACTTCAACAAAACCGTACCTACCACACCAATCTAACAATAGATCACGCACAATCGAGGTAAAAAAAAACTCGAAGAAAAGAGCGAATAACATCAAATAAAAATGCATAACCGTCTCGTTTGCCTGCTTAACTCGTGAATTTTTGATCAGAATTTAAAATTATTGGGATATCTCAAATTGAGCAAAGTAAAGACGATTTGAATTTTTTTTAAGTTTTTGAAAATTCAAATTTCATTACAGATTCACTACATACAAAAGCTGAACGAACCATTTAAATATCACTGTAAATAAGGACTAAGAGTAATTTTTGGGCACTGAGTCCAATTTTGAAATAAAAAAATACCCCAATTTGTACATTTGATTGCCTTGGGTGGATCGGAAAATAATAAATTACGTTAAAAAGATACTTAATTAATCAGACTGATATAGTTATTTTAAAACAATGTAAGTTTTTTAATTGAAAACACAATTAATATTAAAAAAAAGTATTTGGAATATCAAAAAATATTTAAACAGTTACATAGGGTGGTTAATGTTTGTTTTAATTGGATTATTTGTTAGTATTTCATACTATGCTTTATGCTCAATTATTTTTTTTTTATTGAGAATGCGCTCTAGTTTAAATGTTTAAATGACTACGGTGACTCCAAATTTGATGCATGGAAAGTAACATTTTATAATACATAACTTTAAATAAATTTATTTAGAAAACAAATATTTCATTTCGGTATAAGCAACTGATTAAGATTAGTTTTTCACAGGAAATCATGAGGCAAATTTACTCATCAATTTACTGAGTGAATTAAACCAAAGACTTCATATCAAAAAGACTGGCAACTCTTCCATTTTGTCAATCGAACGCTATGAGACAGGTACAATCGCGTCATCTGCCGCTTGAAGGTAAATGCTTCGAACGAACTTGATAGCAAAGATTACATCCTCAGAAGAAAGGTTTGTGTATTTGCTCATTTTTCTATGCGTTGCTTCTACCTTCACTCAAGCACAGCGCTACTGTATCTGTCGCTTGGATTCTGGCAAAGTTGCCAGTCTTCTTGAATTGTTGTCTTCGATTAAACTCAAATTTGGGTCGTTTCCATTCTCCTCCTACACGACCCTGGTGAACGCTTTTCCAAAGTTCGAAAAAGTAGTGAAAATTTCTGTTCAATATGCTGCACATAAATGGAGCGTCACATATCATATACGTATACATTATAAATCATGTATGTAATGTTCTGAAACATTTCATGAAATGCAGCAAATATTGTATACCAAAGCCCAATGTTTACATCACAATTAAAAAAAAATTGCTGTGAATTCCCAGATAAACTGCAAAGGACCAGTGCAGTATGAGTTCGCATCCAAATGAGCTCAACTTATGATCAGAACCTTTTTTTGGAACTGAACGAGTGGGTTGGAGATAATTTGATACTATGCAGTGGAGTAGGTATTGATACCATAAAATTACCCTCGCTACCCCATCATATATTATATACGCCATACATACATTTGTTATGGCATGTCTCCCAGTAAAATAATCAAGTTGCTCAATGTAAAGCATTTCTCGAAGCATTCCATTTTTCATCATTGGACTTTTTAGAATACTTTAGAACCTGTTTCACAACTGCTACTGTGCTAGATTAGGCATCGCATAAGCGATAAGCTACCGGTCTCTCCACTAATATTAGAAGTATATGCAACTATCAAAACAAATTTATAATTTATAAGCGGTTCAAGCTCGCTACTAGCAACAAAAAAAGCCAGGGGAAAATCCGTAAAAGTCAACAAAGTGGAGAATGTAAATATAGAAGCAACAACAGCACCAACAGGCGAAAATGATAAGAAATTTGCTTCTTGGCTTCGAACCTTACCACTTGCATCCGCACCTTGGCTTCAAAACCTCCCCCCCTTCTTACGCAGGGGACAAGTTACGAAAAAAAAGGCAAAACAGATAGGACCTTCTTCTATTTGCTCGCTCATGTTTGGTGTAGATGATAAAAACTGGTTCTTCTGTTGTTTTGTTGTACGATTTTTTTCCACCGTTTACTTGACTGTTCGGAAGGAAGGTTTTGCGGTGTGCTTCTTACATATAGGTGCGCACCGCTCTCAGGTTGTTCCCTTATCACCAACCTAGGTCGGTCGGTGTGTCGGTTGGGCTGATGTTTGTACACACAGGTGTAGAGTGACACCTAACAGCACCGAGTAACAGTATCAGGTAAGGAAGGTTCCAAAGAACGCCGCTGCCGCCGATCGCTATGATGAGATGGAGCAATTCCATCCATGTTTGGTCCAAAGTAAAATTCAAAGCGATGGGGCTGACACTTCATACTGATGAGGAAGATACATTTTAATGCATTCCAGACATATTAAATTTTTAATTTTCCTTGCTGTGAAACAGTCCTTGATCGCATTGACATTAAACAATTAAAGACTATAAATTTTCTGATTTTTTCTTCTTCTACAGATTCAGTCTTTGAAGTTCTTGGTACCACCCTAAGAGACCACCGTTTTAACCGCACTAAAGAATTAAAGCGTAAACTCTGGCCGGTTCGTCTGCAGGAGCAGTATTCGCACCTCGGAGCGGAATAAATCGTGAAACGAAAACGAGCGATAAGTAATGAGAAGAAAGATATGTTTTCCGTTTCGTGGATTTTCGAGGAAAGTGTGAGTGTAGCGGGTGTTTAGTACAATGAATACATTGTGGTGGCACGGTGTACTAAATTCTATCGGAACTCCCGTTAAACCATTTTCCACATTGACAGCAACACCGGCGCGGCGAACACTTCTCGTGTGTGTCGTTTTTTTTTAATGTAGGTATGCTCTGTGCGATATGATTTCGCATTTATTATTATTAAAAAAGGCGCATCCACAGCAATTCAATGCAAACCTGTTTTGATTTCGCGCTTATTCGTGTTATAAAACCGTGTCATACCAGTGAATAGAAATGCATTGAGTGATAGTGTATCAGGAAGAAAATTACACAATACCGAATCAGAAAGTTGGCATATGTCAGTCTGCGTGTCGTCTGCCTTGTCAATTGCGACGAGTCTTGCTGCTGTGACCGCCGGTATTCCCGGTGGAACGGATCTCAGCAGTAGCGGTGTTGGCGGTGGCATGTCACTGTCGCACATGTCCGTCGTGTCGCAGTCGATGATGCAGCCACTGTCCCATGCACTAGCGTCGTCTATGTTGAACATGCCAGGAATCGACCATCAACCGCATAACTCGTCCACCATGTCCCAACAGCAGCCACAGCTGCACAATCATCAACACCATCCGCCTCTTCATGCGTCACCTCTTACCAATGGATCCACTGGCAGCGGCGACGTTACGGATCACCCCAATCCGGATATGCTGCTGGCGCTGATAGCGCGGAATAAAGCACTCGAAGGTAAGTGTGATTTATGGTGGCTCCCAAATCTGAGCTCCGACAATGACCAATAAAACGCTTAAACGCTCACTCATAATCTACCGTTATTCTACCCGTACACTGTCTCCGGATTTATTAGACGGGGTGCCCGTGCTTATATAAAAGTGTCAAATCAGAACCATTATCACTTTGGTCGTATTTTTCGACGGTAAACAAAGTTCATCGTTCAATGTTATCCACTGCGTAAGGCCGAATTCTTATCTTTTCTGCTGGCGAGACGCAATGTTCGGCTTATGTTTATTTTGATAAGTCTGGAGATCTAAGTTATAGATATCGTGACGTAAAATTTGTGGCATTTAGGAAATTGAATTACACTATTGTACTATTTGAGGATTTCAAAACCTAGATTATTTTTTGAAGCGAATGACCCTAAGCATGAAGATAGCCTATAATGCTTGCAATTAATAACTGAGGAGTGCTCAGAGGAACACGATGTTGAGGGAAGTCATAATTTCCAACAGGAACGAAACATAAAAGAAATAGCAGAAGTATAATTTTTGGTCAGCATTTATTATATCCTAACTTCTTGAGAAGCACTGAGCATAGAATTTTGTTTTGCAATACATGATCATTAAGCCAATATAAGTATCATTTTTCTATTACGGGTGCTCAGGATCAACTGGAACCTTTTGCATGGCTTCAACTTCTTTGAGCACTTTTTCCACAGTAGATGATTGAGAGCTGAATTTACATTAATATATTTTTGTAGAGCACTAAGATACTATATGCACAGGAAAGTCAGGAAATTGTACAACCCGGAAATTTCATCGGTCTAGAGCATCTATTCTCAACAAACCCCTACTGTCTTTGTATGTGCTTTTCAGTCAGTGGAGGTGCGTAAAAGGCAAAGTTGAGAAAATAAAGTTTACGGAATCAGCTTCGTTTACATCTAGTTCAACTTGACATTTTGAAATGCACAAATTTGATAGATAAGTGTCCGATAACTGAATATTCTTTCAATTAGCGGACTTCTAGTTAAAAGAATTTTCTGTTAAAAGTCTTTCAATTAGCGAACTTCTAGTGTAGATTTTACCAAGTACTATTGGATAAACTATGCATCGAGATGATTCTGCCTTTATTTTTTGCATTATTTTCTTAAACCGGCACAATACGGATGCCGTATGAATATAAGTTCAGTCAAATGACGCATTTGGTCTAGTGACCAATTCGACTTAGTGGCGTTTAGCTTAGATGCATTCGATCGAATGACCTTATACCCTTTCGAAAATGTGTAGTTGTCACTAGCGTGCACAGGAATCTTGTTAAGGAGGGGCAATTTTTTTCTATGGTGCATTTAATCTGGGGATGGGGAGTACTCCAAAATACGTGGTAGATGGTGCTGTCCTCCTCCCATTTTTTCCCTACTGTTCAATTTAGCTAACAAATGTCTTGAAAATTTCAGAGAAGATTCTTAGACAAATTCTTAGTAAGACAACAATCGACCAAGGTTCAATGGCAAACTTATACCTAATTTTCAATTAGGGAATCCAAAAGCTGTCTTTAAATTGTGTACAGTTGCGAAAAAGTCCATCCTCAGAATTCCTTATGTTCTTTTAGAAATTTTTAGAACTCTATGAGCTCTTTTGAAATTCTTCTCAGAAGTCCTCTGAAATTATTTTGAGAATGCTTCTTGACTTTTACTCAGAACACCTTGGATCTTGAATTCCCTTAGAGTTTCAGAAGAATTTCCTCAGTATTATCTAGAAATTATTCCCGGAATGAGCTAGAAATTATTGGTACTCCCTTGAAATTTTCCTCAAAATCCCTTTGGAATTTCACTCAAAATTTAATTTTCGCGGAATTATCTTGGAACTATCTGCAGAATTCACTAGAAATTATTCGCAGACATTTCTTGGAAAACTCCCCAGAAATCTTTTGGAACAGTCCTCAGAATTCAATATCATTGAGGATCTTCTCAGATTTTTAGAACTCTCCGAAGAGCTCTTTTGAAATTCTTCTTAGAAGTTCACTGGAATTATATTTAAAATTCTTCATGATTTTTTTCTCAGAACACCTTGGAACTGAAATTCCATTAGAGTTTCAGAAATTATTCCCGGAATGAGCTAGAAATTTTTCTTAAAATCCCTTTGGAAGTTAACTCAAAATTTTATTTTCTCGGTATTCTTTTCGAAATTATCTTAGAACTTTCTGCAGGATGCACTAGAAATTATCTGCAGAATTTTATTTGAAATCTCTCCAGAAATATTTTGGAACTGTCATATGATTTCAATATCCTATCTGAGAAGAACATAATATTCTAGAACTTTTTTTTCTCAGAACACCTTGGAAATGAAATTCCCCTAACGTTTCAGAAGAATTTCCAATGTATTCTCCAGAAATTCTTCCCAAAATGAACTTGAAATTATCTCCGGAATTTCCATGAAATTTTCCCCAATATCCCTTTGGAATTTCATTCAAAATTTGATTATCTCGATATTATTTTCGAAATTATCTTGCAACTATCTGCAGGATTCACTAGAAATTATTTTCCGAATTTTCATGGAATCATCCTCAGAAATCTTTTCTTTTGGAACTAATCTTCAGAATTAAATACCTTGAGGTTCTTCTCGGAAGTCAAGTTTAAGTTGTCCGTCCATTCACATTATAGTTTTTCTATCAGAAATGTTCAATAAAGCTTGCCCCGCCATTCACCAGAACTGTGCAATTTTTACATCAGGAATTTACAATTCAGCTAGCCCTTTCATGCAGCAGATTGAATCTTACAACAGAAATTTTCAATAAAAACTTGCCCCAGAAAATTTAACACCAGAAAATTGTACACCAGAAAATTTTACACCAGGAAATTTCAATTGACCAGAACGATGCAAATAATTCACCGTTTATGTTCAAAAAAAATTGTTCTCCAATCTTCTGATTGGTGCATATTTCCTTTTTCCATTTTCCATCAGACATTTTCAATATAACTTGCTTTTCCTATCATCAGAATGTTGCAGGTTTTCCATCAAATAAAACTGGCCCCTATTTTCAGATTTTTCAGCATAAATTTTCAGTAAAGCAGCTTCCCTCCAATCATAAGAATGGAGCAAATTTTACACCAGAAATTATAATTAAAGTTTGTTCCTCTATTGAGCAAAAGCATGCAAATTTGAGACCAAACATTTTCCGAAAAACTTGCCCATCCGTTCACCAGAACGGTCAAATTTTCCTCCAGAAGTTTTCAATATAGCTTAATTTAAATAAAGCTTGTGCCTTCATTTACCAGACCAGTGCAAGTTTTCCACCAGAAATTTTCTGTTAATTTCATTTATCAGAGTGAATTTTGCACCATAATTTTTCAATAAAGCATTCTCCTCCATTCACCAGAATGGTGCACCAACAATTGTCAGTGAAGTTTGATTTACCATGCAATTTTGTGGTGCAATTCTCAGTTACCAGAATGGTGCAAATTTTCCACCATAAATTTTCAATGAAGCTTGCATTCATCAAAACGATGCAAATTATGCACCAGAAAAATGAATAAACCTTGCTTCTACATTCACCACAGTATTGCGAACGTTCCACAAGAAATATTCAGTTAAATGTGCACCTCCAAATTTTTAGCGTGATTCAATTTTTCCACCAGGGTTATTCATTTTGATTAGTCCCTCCATGATTGATGATATTTTTACGCCAGATATTCAATAAAAAGCTTTCTCTTCAATTTACCACCACGAAGGTGATTCTTTTCAACCTTAAATTAACCCTCTTCTGTTATCCCTCCATGAACCACATTGAAAAAAAAATTACAACAGATTTTTTTTTGTATGCACCACTGTGGTGCAATTTTTTGACCAAAACATTTCATTGAAGTTTGTCCCTTCATGCACCTTTGTGGTGCAATTTTCAGACACCATCGCAAAGGAATTGACGCAATAAAAGGTTTACATTGCCCTTATAGTATGAAATGAAGTTATTTTACCTTCAAATCAAGTTATCAAGAACACAAGTTATTTTATATCGTAACTTGGATATGTGGAAATAAACATCTTATTTATAAAAGGAGGGCCAATTGCCCCACCTTGCCCCACCATGTGCTCACCAGTGGTAGTTGTGTATCAAATCTTGAACTCCTGGAACTTCCACAACATTCCAAGTGCTTCGGACGATTTTTGAAACTAAACGAACTCTTGAAAATACCGGGATATTCCGGTCCTCCGATAACTTTCAACATGATTGCAACCTCTCAAACTCCCAGAATTCTTACAGTTCCATGAAGCGTATGAACAACGAATCCGTTCCTGAGATATAATTAGCCTCTGACATTTTGAAGTAAGGAAAGACTTTCGTGGACTATGACATTGAGTGAGGACATGTGAAGTTTTTTTGTTGTAAATTTACATGTTGATTTAAGTAAACTATTACATCCTCCTCTTTTCTCTCCCCGATCGGAGTTTTTTTTTACACCTTCAGGTGTGCAGTGCCACAGGCGGACATAAACGTTCCCCGGAGGAAGCAACCATCTCAGCCGAGTCTGAAGATTGGATTGTCCAACGGTAAAACTATCAACCACCACCTAGACATCGCATCATACGGCATCAAAAGGTCATCACCCGTATACACCGTACAACGAAGCAGCAGAACTGCAGATACGGTCTATACAGACCGGACGGTGCCCTTTGTGCTAAGCCACGTGCTGCAACAATAGAGCGATCATCTCTGCTTCATCGCACAGTGGAGTTTGTAAACGCGCCATCCCGGCATATAGAGATAAGTTAATTTTTATCTCAGCCTAATTATTTATTTTTTTTTTTTTTTTGTAAATATTTTTTTTTTTTTGTTTGGTTTTTGATTTGCTAATATTAAGTAATCCCCCTGCAGCGTTGAGTTTCCTTTCTTACAAATTATTATTTTTATTATTATTCATTATCTTATTTAGTTTTTTTTGCACATATTTTATTTTATTTTTATTTTTTTAACACTGAGCAATTCACTCACAGTGTTGACTTCCTTTTCTTGTTGTT